ATATGGGGAAGCCATAAACTGAGTGGAGGGCAAACAAAGGGTTTTGTTTGGTTTGCCATTGGTTTGCCACTGGTGTAAGGGAAAGCTGCCCCAGTAAATGGGCAAGTGGCTCACGTCTGCTGGGCTGCCATGAGTTGCTGTGCTGCTGCAGCCAGGTTTGTGGAAGACACTAGAGCCCTGCAGTTGTGGCTCAGAGGCCTGATGATGCCAGCCTTACAGTGCTAGTATTTCACACCATAGGTAATCTTATTAGGTTAAACTGATTACAGTGCACTGACTACATGAATACTACTCAGCATGAGTAAAGGAAAATTTTCTTTACTCATGAACAATAGCTCCAGAGGAACAGTTGCACCAGACTCTGCAGGAGAACCTATTACTGCAAGTGCTTCATCATTCATTTGGGTGTGGCTCCAGCCACAACATTAATCAAAGCTGTTTTTCCACATGGGGCAGATTCTAGCCTCAGAGCATACCACACAAAGGGCTTCAACATTTTTTTGTTTTCTAAGACTCTTGCATTGTTTATCTGCATTGATTGTTACAGAGAAAAATTCTCTGTGTGTTATCTATTAATAATGAAGTCTCCATTAGGCTATTCTTTCTTTAAGAACAGTGAGTTTTGCTTTTGTGACTTGTCATGTAGTCATAGAATGTTCTCAGTAATTTTCAGTACTGATTTTTGAAGTTGTTGTGTATGATCTGTGTACAATCAAGCAAGAAAAATGAAAAAAGGCAAAACATGGCAGAATGTCAGAGATGCTATACTGAATTTTTTTGGCATTTATAGTTCAGTCCTGCAGTTTTTTTCTCCAGTTTTTCCCAAGTCTAGTAATAATGTGAAAAAGGTCCTTCTAAACCAGCATTCTGTCTTGGCTAAAGGAGGTTTATATACAAGTCAGCTGATCAGCTGTTGAAAGCTTAGAACAGAAACCTGTCTGAACTGCTATGTTAGCCACAGTTATAGCCATCTTCCATACATTTGGCTGTGCTTTGGTTTGTGTGTGTGGTTTTTAATTTTTTATTTATTTTTTTATTTTTTATCAGCTTATGCTTTGGCTTCCACAAAATTCCTGAAACAGTGAGGTTTTACAACCTTGTTATGTCCTCTATATGAGTGGGGCAATATCCCTGTTTGTTTGCTTTAAACCATCTGCCCGACAATTTTAAAGGGTGTTCCATGCCTTGAATGAGTATTTGTTGTTAACGCTCTCCATGCTATTTAGTTGAGTTTTGCCATATCCCTCTTCTTCCAAACATTTCCATGCTAAGGTTTTTTGTTGCCCATTCTAACACAAACACTTATTCTATCACTCTGCTCATCCTTGTGGCCACTCTGAAAATTTGTAATTTTATTAACCCCTTGAAAGTTGCGGAGTGCAGAATTGCCTGCCATATTTGAAGCGTAAGTGCTTAAAATACTTTGGGAGTAGTCAACATCCTAAGTTTTTTTTTCTATTTTCTTAGGTCTTGGTATTCGACTTGCTTACTTATTTTAATGTCAGAAAGCATTTTTCTGGTGTTTTCTAAGTATAATTTAAAAAGAATGTATTATGTTCTGCTTAGTAATATCCATTTTAAAGCTGCCTGACTGTGTATGGTACCTAAATACAGTTTAAAAATGGAAGTGGGGTTGTTACCTCACATTTTCTCTCATCTGCACTTCTTGGCCTTCATTTCCATTTACTTTTATTACCTGATCCTCAGTGTCATGAGTCTTTTCTGCAGCTCCTGTTTTAGATTTGACTCTCCTCAATAACCTGGCATTATCTGCAGCTTTTGTCACTTCATTATTTGCCTGACTGTCCTACTAGAAGCAATATTATTTATTATTTATGTATATGAAGAACAGTGTATATCTCAGTACATATGCTTCTGGAGACTCCTTCACAGGTATTTTTTTTTCACTGTGAAAGCTGTCCATTTGTAGCTGTCCTTTTTTTACTAACTTTGATTTCTTTACTATGCCATGGGAGGATTACACTGCTTTTTTATTTGGTGATTTAGGTTCTTTACTAGCCTCTGGAATACTTTTCAATATTAGTTTTGGAGACCCATTTACAATGCAGTGACTAGCTTGCTGTTCTCTGCATGCTTGTTTAATTATTAAAAGAACTTTAAATGTTTTATTACAAAAATGTTATACTTAAGAAAACCTCGCTGTCTTTCCCCATTATATTATATTATTGATATGTTTGGTGTGTCACTGAGTCAGACTATTTCAGGCACAGCTAAGCTGTCAAGTCAATACATCATATTGTATAGTTTACTTAGAAAAATAAATGAGAAGTTTATAGCTTTAGTGGCATAAATTCAGAATGATTATCAAAATGTTGAAGGGAATTAAATAGAGAAGTAGAAATTCAGAAGTTCTTTAGTAATTCTCTGATGTGAAATACTCTGTGATGATGCATGAGGTAAAATTAGGTATTTTTCAAGTAAACTCATGTGCTTTAGACTGTTGTGAAGCTGAATGACTGTGAGGTGTTAAATCAAGGGAGTGTGACAAGAAGGAAGAATTGAAAAAAAGAAAATAAAATGTATATATAAATAAATTTAAAAATGGACAGAATTCTCCCTGAGAGATGCTGAGTCTATGGCTAACAGCCAGTACTTTTCCCCTGGCCTTAGGTCTCTGCTTAATAAGGAGCCAAATGCTTCATAAGCTGGCTTCAGGGAAGTCAAATAGGACAGGACAAACCTGGGAAAGGGCTTAATGCACAGATGATACTGAGATACCCACATACTGCAGCAAACCGCTTCAAACTAGCAATCGAAAGATGGTCCTCCCTCTACAGAGAATAACAGATTAGCTGGTGAAATAATCTTTCTAAATGCTGTGTCATCTTCAGCAGTTAATGCTATTTGGAAGAAAACCCAGAACCTCCTAAAACTTAGAGTTCTTTTAATGCCTTGCTGCCATAAGAAACGAGTCTATAATGCTACACAAGCGTTACAGCTGGTAGAATAATACACTAGGAAAATGGGGAATTATGCCCCTAGACAGATGTGCCCAGAGAAAAACTAGACTGTGTGGCTGGACATTTTCCAAAGGGAGGGCCAGGCCCATGAGCAGTGAGATGTCTTTGAGAATAGTAAAATAGGCTTTCAAGTCATTGCTTTGATAGATATGAAAAATGAATGTTGCACTTGTTTCTGAGGCAGAGAAGTTCAAAGAACAGTTAGTGATGATGGCATGACGAGCAAACTTACGTGACCATAATTTAAAAACAAGCTGAGTCACTTACACATTTGTTCTTAATGCTTTTATTTGGCTATCTGGAGTTTTGTTATCAATGATAGGCAGTGGTTACTTTGAAAATAATATTTGATTTAGCTGGAATCAAGTGATGGCTTTATGGGAAGTGAAAGACATTACAGAAGTAAAGCAGAAGTTATTTTCCCAGAAATTGCTGGACTTCTTCAAGCAGAGGCATAAAAAAGCTTTCAAGCATTAAGACAAAAAATAAGTCTTACCCTCTCATACATCTTCTTTGCATTATTCCAGCAGCACACAGGGGACTTGACTCCATTTAGCAGGGCACTTAGAGGATGTAAAGAATTAAGAGTATGAATAATGATATTGACTTCAGTCAGAAAACTTGCATGTGTGAGTTGTATATACACCTAAAAATATTGCAGAATCAGACTCTTATAGCTGATTAACTTTTTGTTCCTTAAATCAGTCAGAAGAAATGATGTACTCTGCAGCAGAAACTTCAGAGTCAGGGTTCATTAGTAATGTGGAAAACAGAGTAAACATTGTGCTAACGTAATTGTCAGATAAATATTTAAACAAAGAACATTTGTGAGCTGTGCTGAGCACATGCAGTAATATTAAAGGGTTTACAGGGATGAGTTAAATGACTGGGAAAATATTTAGGGAAATTGTATTGAACAGCAATTCCAAATATGAATTCAGTGTAAGGGGAAAAACCTGAGAGCATGAAAATAAGAAAATGGAGATGAAAGTGTCATTGTAATGCACGTAAGACATGTTTGTAGGGTGATATAAGTGTTTAAAAATGCTATTTTTGGTCACAGTCTTCATAGCCCATAGGAAGGCAGTAATAGATCCTCGTATACTTTTATGGACTCATACACGCACTGTTATAAGGGAGGGTTATGTTGTGTAGGCTTGCTCTGTCCCTTTTTTGTCATCATTATGCAATTTCAAATGGAACACTTCTTTCTGTTTTGGATGCCATACAACCAAAAGTATTTCTTAGCTGGAGGAAGAATTCAGAGAATCATAGCAAAATTACTTAAATAATTGAGTTCCAAGGAAATAAAAATGAACTTAAACTTAAGACTTGTTTAAATTACTGCTTAGCTGAGACATGAGTGCAGTCTGGATCTGTGGGGTAGTAAAAGCAATGTGAAGAAAGGATCATTCCTTCATGTACGTAGGTATACATAAGAAATTGCAAAATGCTCAGCAGAGGCTTAATAACAAGAGAATATTTCCTGAAAATGAGGTCTTTCAGCTGGGTGAGCACTCTCCCACAGGAAACGGAGGAAGCCCCTCTGTAAAAACAAACCAAAATAAACCCTGAATCTGATGAATTTATGCAAAACTAGTTTTTAAAATACAACCTACAGTTATAAGGAAAATGTATTGGGTGGTTTAATGGCCTTTTACAGATCCACTAAAGCCACACAGTTTATAAACACGTAGCAGAAGCTGAGGATTAAAAATACTTTTCCCTCATGGATTTTCTTGGCTTTGGAGGACAGAAAGAACATTTTTTTAACTGATAGCCTACATACCTTGACTTTCATCTGTCTCTCTCTCTCTCTCACACACACAGAAGAAAACAACCTATCTTGGTGAATTTTCCATTGGAGGAGTTGAAGTAAATCCAATGAATCAAGTTTAAGCCAAATTCTATACTGAATAACTTTGTGAGTGTTAAGTCATTGCATGCATAGCTGTTACACTTTATTGATTGTGCCAGGGGAGGTTCAGACTGGATATCAGGAACAATTTATTCGCTGAAATGGGTGTCAGGCTCTGGAACAGACTGCGCAGGGAAGTGGTTGAGTCACCCTGGAGGTATTGGAAAGACTAGTAGACGTGATACTTAAGGACATGGTTTACTGGTGGACTTGGCGGTGTTAGGTTAGTGGGTGGACCTGATGTTTTGGGTTGTTTCCAACCAAGACGATTCTATGATTCTACACAGAAATAAATTCTAAAAGTGTTTCAGTGCACTATACCTCAATTTACTAGGGTATCACACTACCCATGCTATTATTTCATTGTGGTGCTGTGGGATTGACCCGAATCCTGTTGTGCTAGATGCTGTGCAAAAGATTTAATAATAAAAAAATCTGTTAAATCTTTGTCTTAAAGGGTCCATAAGGTAAGTTGGAAAGCATAGAGGCGGAAGCAGATGAATCCAAGGTATTAGTAGGGTGGTAATGGGTAGATCTGGTAACATTTATGTATCCTAATCCTATTTGTTAAAATTTTATCAAGGGACAGATTTGTGTGGGAGTTAGAACAAGGAAGGTGGGGAGGTTTGGAAACGTGTCTTTAAGGTCAGGGACAATATAGGAGGAAACAAGATTATCTTATTACTCTTTCTGTTCCTCTGCTATTGACCAGCTGAACATGAATGTCAACATTTCATTATTGAATAAGAGATGATAGATGAAGCAGAGGAAGGTTTGAAAAGGTTGCAAAATGTAGATTAGAGATTCTATTTAATGTATTAATGCAAGGAAAGCCAGGAGAGAGAGAAGCCTGTGTGGACAGACCCAAAATGGCAGGCTCAGAGCCACAGGCATGGAAGGGTTTTCCACGGCGTGGTTCTGGAAGCTGCCATGTTATGTCTGCTGAAGCCAAATAATGTTTCTATGATTGAACCATCAGGTAATGATAGCCAGAGTGTTAGCTCTGAGGGCAGATAGGAGAGGATGATGAGAAAAAAGAAACTGTGGGACTTTGCAAGAGGCAGGACATGTATGTCTAAACAGAACAGGATGCCAAGATTACAGGCTGGAGTGATGGGTGGGATAGTTTTGTTAATCCTTATATATGTATTATATATGTCCCTGTGAGAGGAAGGTGCAGCAAGAGTAGTGTGAGTAAATGCTCAGCTGTAGCCCTGCTGGGTTGGAGAGTATGGTGAGGTTCTGCTGGGGAGGTGGGGAGAAGGTGTGGGACTTTGGTGTGAAAGGGCTGGAGCAGCACCAAAGTCCAGTTTTCCAGTCTGAAGGGCTGAGTGAGTTCACAGCTCAAATTGCTTGGTAATGTTCCTGTTGTATTCCTTTACTCCAGAGAAGAGAGCCTGGAGTCAGCAACAGTTAGACAAGTCCTTAACAACTGGAATGATATCACTTGTCCTAATGAGACAAAAAAAGATTGAAGGACAGTAAGGACAGGATGGACAGTGAAAAGGTTAGGAACATTTTAGAAAATGGGGACATCTGGATGATGTCAGGTAGCTCTCTTTCCTTGTTTTCTGTATCATTTGACAATAACTGCATCATGTGTAATAGACCTAATAGACCTAATGTGCTGGCCCAATTCCATCTTTCGCAGACACAACCTGCTTTTGTACATTCCCTTCTAGCCTCAATTTATTAGTCTTAAGCCTCCTTATATAAACTTCTCTCTAGAGCACAGTGAGATTTTGCAGTACACCTGGAATAAATTGACCTGTTAGGTACTATTTAGGAAGTTTTGATTTTGCTGTATTTGAATATCAATAGTTGTGTTTCTGTCTTTGTAACTGATACAGTTTTGATTCTGGTTCTGTTTTCTGTGTGGAAGTGCATCTGTATACAATGTCTGATAGTAACTAACCAAGT